AGTGTGAGCAGTCTTATTTTCTTATCCTAGATGACTCCTTATATGGTCAGATGGGGTACAAGGAGTAAGTACAAGAGACAGATCTTGGAAAAGTCAATACCAGTGGTTCTCAGACTTTCTGGTCCCAGGACCCTTTCACATGCTTAAAAAAATGATGACATAAAGCAACTTTTTAATATGTTGGTTATAGCTATCAATATTTATGAACTAATAGTTAAACTGGGAAAATTTTAAAATACAAGAATATACAAGCACACATGCCATATGCCGTCAGGGCAATGATGTCATCATAGTCACATGCCTTCTGGAAAACTCCAAGGTACACTTCTATAGGTATGAAAGTAAAAGACAAATAACAACATAACATTGCTACAAAATTTTTTTCCTTTCACACGTTCTCTGAAAGGGTCTCAGGGACCCACACATATCCCCTGAACTCATTTTGAGAAGAGAGAACTACCTGCTTCACAAAATAACTGGCCCACAAGTTTTACCAAAAAGAAATACTCGATTGGGGGATTTAATTTTCCATCTCAGAAATAATTTTCACAATAAACAGAATTATCACCAACATCATTCCATTTAGATTCTTGAATAATAGGGACCAAATGTTAACTTCTTCTGGTATGTATACGTAATCACTCTTATGAAGAAATTCATTAATATTCAACTAAATTTTTGTTTTCTCTGTCAATAAGACATAAGCAAGACATAAATTATTAAGATCTCTAGACTGTTACGATCAAATAAAAGAAGTCTCCCTCTTCACCCACTCCCTAAAACAAATGGAGAATTCCAATTAATTCTGAGTACGATGGTTAACTCTTTTACATATTTGTTAGTACATAAGCACACGTCACAATTCTAAGAAAAATGTCATACCTGGTTACTTATGCAGTTGTAGAATTAATTTTATTGGGCCACAAAAATACTCAGACAGAATGACATCAAAAGGTTTTGGGAGGGTATACGCACATCTTAGGACTCATCGATGCTACCTAGACGCACGCTCGCATTACTTTCTCACACCGGCCCATAAAATCACAATGAATGAAAAATGAGGATTCTTCTCCCCACTTATCAACGACAACACATATACACAACACACACAAATGGAGATAACAAAGGGAAAATGTCAGGGGGATCCTACTCATGGTTGACTCTTTTAACTTATATTTTATTATAAAATAGTCTATAAAGAAATTCATTTGCATAAAAAATAAGACATAAATGCAATAATAGTCTAAGTGTAAATATGTCCTTGAAAGCAAACAAAGGCTAAACTACAATATAGCCTCTGTCCTTAGGGTTTCTCCCTAGGTGAACAAATCCATATTTGAATGTAATGCAAATCTAAGAAATCCAAGGGAAAATAGCCATTTGCAAAACTTAAGGAAAGATCACCTCCCTCTAATTCCAACTGTTCTAGCCATCCACACCATGCTAAATTTAGGTTGCACAGTATTTCTCAAAAATTGCTCTTTGTTCTTAAATATAAAAATCAATCAGTTTTCCTTGCTGATTTCTGGGCAAAAATGCCCCACTTGTAATGAACTGTCACTCCTACTTGGCAGTCCTTTTCAGAGTTTCAACCAGTGGTTAAAGTGGTCCAAATGAAATCTGAAATAGAACTGAGTTTAGCATTATATTATTTGACGATCTTCAATCCGTTTGCTTTTATAACATTTTTAAATCTCTTGCTTAGGATTTGCTAGGCTGTATCTCACCAAAGAATTAAAGGTAAATCAAGACCATAAAAAAAATTTGTCTTTCTTAATTACTAGAAACAATGCCAGCCACAGTAGCTGGAGCCAGCACATTTCATACTTGCTATTATTCCCCGTGGAAAGGAATATTTAAATCTCCAAACTCTAAGAATACCATTAAGAAAACCTTCCATTCATATTTTTGAGGAGAGCTCTCAATCTGAAGGATAATCACACCAAGCCACTTAAAATGAGACATCAAAAGCATTTACCCATCAGGCAAATCACATGCTGATTTATCACTCTTCAGGCCAGGGATGCCCGACTCAGCCTATCAGGTCTAAGAAATATTTGCATATTTCACATAAACCTTTATACTAATCACTCCTCCCCTCCGAGTTTATAGAAATAGTCCAGACAACCATATACACCAATGGAGCAGGTTATTGAATATTTAGAGATATGGAAGTGCTAATGGCATGGCATTCAAGCACTCTGACACATTCACCTTCAGCTAAAGACAGCACAATACGCTAACAGACACAGTTCTAATGACACCAGGACCTGTGGAATGTATGACTGCTAGGAAACACATGCTGCTAGGAAACAAAGAACAGATCTGATCAAATCTTCTATTGTAAGGACTGGGAATCATTGTGGTTATGTCTTCTAAAATGAGAGGACGCGTGTTCTTTAATCTTCAGAAATATTTACAAATGTAGAGATTGTAACACATACCCTCTAGAAATGAGACAAATATATGAAGCTAGATTCTCATAAATTAAATCACAGTTCTCTAAGTTTTCTATTAAGATGACAGCCACTACCAATAGTGCATAAAAATATAACAAAGTCAAGCATCAACGATTCTGTATTCTTTTTTTATCAGCTTAAGCTCTTTCAAGAAGTCAAGATCTTAAAAAAGATCTAGAAATTATATTACCTAGAAAATAAGTACCATTTTACATTACAGTGCGATACTTTTAAAAACAAAATAGAACACAGTCATTTGCACCAAACACCGAAGCAGTCAGAGATAATCCACAACTAAGGAATTCAGTAGCTTTTAATTATTGAAACTGAAAAGCAGTTTAGCTTTTTAACTTTTTAAAAACTGTTTATCTTCGCACATTATTTAACCCATGCTTTGATTACAAAACAAAAACAAAAAAAAAGAGTGAAACAAAGTTGAGAGGTATTTCAACACAAATATCCTTTTAGCTCCTACACAAATTACTCGAAAACCTCTTGGTGCTGCTATAAAAGAACGGACAATTCTATCTATAATCCACATACGGACAAACTGGGCACCAGAACTCCAGGTCACTCAGTACCATTACAGACTGAAAAACGTATCAGGGAAATCTGGCTAAATTCTGTTTAATCTCATAGGGAAATGAAGAACACTTTCCAAGTGAAAAATTACTAAAGAAGTGTTTCTTTGTAGATTCTACAATGACATTCTTTAACTAGTGTCCATAGCCCAGATGACACTAAATTAGCAGACCGCCTATTTACTCCAGAGCAAAACACAGAAGGCATTTTTTCCTTCCTGCCAGAGTCTATGCGTCTCCTCATTTCCCCAGCAGCTGGCTGGAAGGATGTAAAATCAGACGTGCAAGAAGGCTTATACTTCCTAGTGAGTAATCCACCCAGGAAAGTAAACACAAGACACACCACCAGGTTGGGCTCTAAAGGAGAGTGTGGCAGGGATGCTTACACCGTTATTTACAATGTGCTCCAACTACCGCAGGCAGGATCACACACAGGGAGGAGACACCCAGAGGTGGCTCTCACACCTAGAGTTCGCCCAATTGCTATGATATCTCTGGGCCATAAATAAGGCAGCCCACGTTTCTATCAGAGCGAGGGAAGTGACCGGAGAATTCCAGAGACCAGGGGTTGTGATGGCTTGACTCGGTTAGTGCAATCTGGTCTAGAGATGACTGTTCTATCCCTTGGTCCTCATCAGGGCCAATCTGGGGTGCGTCGAGCGCTGCACCAGAGACACGCGCCGCACTCATCTCGCGGAAGTGCTCCTCACTGGGGAGAGGTGACACTGTGAGGCTGCCTCGCAGCCCTTATGGGGCCCCGCGGCCTCCTCAAACCAGATTTTCTAGTTAAGCGGATCCCAGGCGATTTCGATAAGCAAGCTCTCAGCTCAAGTAGCATCAGCTCTACCATCTCCACAAATATCTCCTGGCCATCCCCGGAGCGCGCAGGAACGCGCACACACTGTCACGCACACGCCGACCGCACAGCCAACTGACCCTGGTAGCAGAGGTCGCCCCCACCCCTACATCTACACCCACCCACCTATAGCTGGGGGGCTGGCACGCTTAGCCCCTGAGCTCCGACCGGGGCCCAGTGGCGGAGGCGCGGTGGCACTGACGCTCCGCTGCAGCCCGAGCGTCCCCTTCTCCCGTTGGAAGCTCCGGGGCGCCTGCCCTCCTACCTGTAACCCAGTCGACCGCGGACACCAACGCTCTTCCTACCCCGCCCTGGCATCCCAGCTGCCCGGATTCGTGCAACACCGTCCCCCGCCCCGTGCCCACTCCCAACACCGCGCCGCCCCGGGCCACCCACGAAAGTAGCAGCATCCTCCAACCAAAACCGCCTAACAAAGCCTGGGGAAGCAGCTCTTAACCAAACTGCCGTGAAGGGGACACCACAGGCGGGGTGCGGAGAGGCAGCACGGCTACACGACTCCGGGGCGCGACCGGGGCAAATGCGGCCCCTACGGATGCTCCAGGCAGGCGTCTGGGAAGGATCGCGGTGAGCTCGCCGCCCCTCAGTCCCCATCAGCCAGAGCCCAGCTCTCACCCGGTCCCTGTCGGCTATTCAGCCCGCTCCCGCCTCCAGCGGCACCAGCTCGGGCCGATGGAGAGAAGGCGCCCCCTGGTCTGTTTTCAGCCCCCGCCAAGCGATGACACTGGGGTGAGAGAGGAGGGAAAATTCCCGGGGTGGAAATTCCAGTTTCTATTCCCAGCGTGTTGGACTGTGAATGCGCCGGCTCTGCTCTCCCCTCCATCCCTCTCGGCCGCCAAATCGCCCAGTTGCTGGAAAAACCTCGAACCCGTGCCAAACCCCAGTGCCCACCAGCCAGGAGGCTCCCTTCCCACCCCGCATCACGATCGGATGAGTGTGTGTGCAGGCGAGTGTGTGAGGGCGAGTGTGAGTGGGTAGGTAAGTGCGCGTGAAGCCCGCACCCCCGGAGCTGCCCGCCCCGCGGACGCCACCGCCTGCGCGGGGCCAGGGCCACCACTATTAGCAAGAGTGAGAAGAAGAAATTACCTTTCGTAACCGCCGGTGCCTGAGATCGTCCCATCAGTTGCTCAACAACCTGCAGCCGGGGGCAGCGTCCACAATCCAGCCATGGAGCCCGGGGCAAGAGACCGGCCGGCCCCGGAGAAGGCACCCCGCCACACGCGGCCAAGAAGGATACCAAAGCGCAGAGAAGGCAGCAGGAGGGTGGAGAAACAACAACAAAAAGTCTCTCCTTCCCCCTTTCTCCCACTACACAGCCATGGAGAAAGGGCAAGGGGGAAACAAGAAGAAAAGACCCAAATGCGTGTCTTCCTTGACGTTTCGCTCGCTCCAAACACACCGAGGGGGTCGAAACCGAGCAAAGAGAGAGGAGGGTTCAAATGTCTCTCCCAGTCCACAGTTGCACAACTTCGGAGTCAGGCTCCGTCTCCAGCAGCAGCCGAGAGACCCGAGCGGCAGCTATTAACATGCGGCAGTCATAACTGAGGCTGCTTCTCCTGCTGCTGCTGCTGCTGCCGCCGCCGCCGCCGCCGCTGCCGCCGCCGCCGCTTAAGAAAAGACGCTGCTGAAGAGACCAAAAATCTTCCACCATCCCCCAGCCGATCTTTATATCCAGTTCTCCCACCCCACCCCCTTCTCTTTCTTTTTCTTCTTCTTCCTCGTCCTCCCCTTTCCGCTTGGGAAAGGGAGCGATGGAATAGGAAGGGGGAGCCGCGAGAGCCTGGGGTGGCTGCTTCTCCGTCAAACCCGCCTCCTCCTCCCGAGGTTTTCCCCCGGCGCAGGGTCTCCTCTCGCGCCCGCAACCCGCGCCGAGAGCCGGAGCGAGGGCCACGCAAACTCCTTCCCGGGTGCACAGTGGGGGCGCGCGGGTGGAGCGGGCGCCCGGCCGCTGAGGGCTGCGTCCCGAGGGTCGCGGAGCCCGGAGCCCGCGGGGTGGCCGATTAGCTGGCCGGCCGGGCCGGGCAGCCGAGGGCATGTGGGAGCTTCATCGCGCGGCCCCGAGCTCCGCGCCGCCGCCGCCGCCTCTTCGGTTCTTTCTCTTCTTCGACTCTCCGAGAGCGAGCAAGGCTCTGGCGCTCTCCACACACGCACACTCACACACGCGCACACACGAGCGAGCTCCTGCCAAAGCAAACCGTGCAATCAGCGCGCGCGCACACCCGGAGAAAGAGGACGGAGGCAAAAAAGAGAAGAAAGAAAGGGGAGGGGGCGAGTCACAGGCGGCGGCGGCGGCAGCTGTCGAAGCGGAGGCAGCGAGCAGTCCGGGGAAAAGCAGCAGCGGCGGCGGCGCCCACCCGGACCAGCGGCAGCATCTGCATCCCCGCTCTTGGGAACTGGGGCGAGAGGTGCTGGGCGAGCAGGCGGCCCGGCGACGCGCCGAGAGCCGGTCGGAGCGCGGGCGCGCGGGGGCCGTGCAGCCTGCGCGCGGAAGACGCAGCCGGGGCCCGAGCCGAGGCCAGAATGAGCCGCGGCTTGGCGAGCGCCAGGAGCGCCGAGAGCCGGGGAGGGGGCTCGCGCGGGGGGGCGGGGAGGGGGGATGAGGGTGGCAGGTAAAACCCGGATCTGGAGTGCACGCGGGCTCCGCCGCGCGGACTCCACCTAGCTGCTCGGCGAAAGCTTGGAGGTGGGAATGAGAGAGGGCTGCTACGGGAGGCTTCCCTTTCAGGGTTTGTTGAACAAAGGGTACCTCTCCTCCCGGCTTTGAGGCACGCTTCTCCCTCAGTCTCTCTCTCTCTCTTCGTCTCTCTGTCTCTCTTCCTTCTCCTCCCTTCCTCTCTCCCTTTCTCTTTTCCTCCACGCCACCCCAGGTAAGTAAGTAAACGTCAGACTGAGAGTCCTGCCAGTGTCTCTTTTTCTAGGTGCAGATTAGTCCATATTTTCATTATGCAGGTACCGAGTCCCGGTGTGTTTTCTGCCTTTGGTCCATTTTACGTTCCTTCAAACTTAGCTCAACGTGCAAGTTCATGAAGACTTTAAAGTATCCTGTTATACAGACATAGGGATTTCATGAATTTATTTCATAATCAGTAAAAATTACCATAATGGATATAGAACGGTGCCAGTTCCAAAGCCATGCCTTCTGATGGAGGGGAAAGTCTGCTCAAGTTAACGGAGTGACCTTGGTCCATTACTGAGCCCCTTTGTGCTTTCTTTGTAAATGAGAGAGAGGGTTAAGCATATAATTTATAAGGTCTCTTCCTGCTCTAAAATTTCATGATCTGAAAAGACTAAGGTTTTATTTTCTGTATCAGTAAATTCGAGTTAAAATTATGAGAGAAACTAAGATTTATTATATGCCTTCAACAAGCACATTATATCCAAATTGTATTTGGATGCATATATTCAGGATGATCTAATGCCCTTCCAGAGCTCTTTGGGAGGTGTAATCAATCCCAACACATCTGAAAAACCTAAAACCTCATTAGAATTAACAGACCCTACCCAATACAAGGGATTATCAATATCTCATTCGTTCTTCAATGCTCAGTTCTAGTGCCAAATGCTCCAGAAAGCCTTTTCTCACCAACCCCAATCAAAATAATCACCCCTTTTATTATAGTCCCATAATACTTTGATGGTATATCTACAATAACGCCTATTTCGTTCTTTTTTTCTTATTCTTTTAAAATAAGGAGTTGCTTGTCTTTATATCTCCTCAGATTATAGGATCTTTCTTAAATGCAAATTCCAAATTTTAATCATCTGTATAACATAAGATTACTATGTATCCACAGTACACTGTAGTTTAAAAAAAAAAAAAAGTAGGAGGGGGATTTCCTGATATTTCTGAATTCTGACCAACCAGACGTTCACACACTTAAATTAGGCTACTCAAAGTTGCCTAATATAAGACATCCATAAACTCCCCTGATTACATAAAGAAAATGTAAACTGACATCTGAAATCATTTGTTACTTAAAGAATTTTAGAAATAGATTCTAGCTAATTTGACAAAAGGAGGTAAAATTGAAACTACCCAATTCATCTCCCAAATGGATATATGTAGAAAAGAAATAAAATAATAAAATGTGGAATGAATGATGCTGTATAGATATTAAATGTTATTAGGGATAACAGCAGACATAAATAAATAGTACCTACAGCCCAATTTTTAGAATCAGTCTTATCATATCTTGACAGGTCTGGAAGGATATGGGAGAGGAATTCAAATTAATTTCAAAATGGAAATTAATGTATCAAAATATAAAATATACTAACTGAATATGCATATTAATTTAAACAAGTAATTAAATATGAGACACAGTAACTGAAAAGTAAGCATATTAAGTTAAATAATTAATTGAAAGTAAAGTATTCACCAAAGAATTGACTACAAATAAAGTTACAAACAGAAAAATGAGAAGAACCAAAAAGAGGGAAAAGTAAGTAAAAAATAACTCGTAGCTATTTAAGAAAAGCAGGGAAAGGAAGAGAATAGGTTAATTATTTACACAATTAAATCAAGTGTCAATGTAGCAGCTTTTATAGCAGCAACTGTATTTTGGGCTCAAACTCCATGCTTCCAAATCCTTTTTAATCTGATAGGCATAGTCTTTTATATTTAAGATATAAAGCATCCTATTCTATTGCCAGGAAATCCATGAGTCTTGCCAATATTTTCCTAAGATGAACCTTCTAGAAAAATAAAATCAAGGAAATCTTGTGCCTTTTTTGCTATACAACTATACTTAACACCTTCTCAGGGACAAGATAGAATCACGGATGATGTTTGAGCAATGATGCTATTATACAAGGTAGAGCTGTGTGCGAGAGTGGTTTTTGAAAATGATGGCATGGTTGGCTTTAGTTCTATTAAGCTTAAACAAATCAGTATTTACCATGTGGAAAAGAAACCCCCAGATAAGCTGAATATCCAATTAAACAGGACAATTAATTTGAAAATATTTTAACAGCTAATAAAATTCTGTGACCAAATGACCCTTTCAAATTATTAAATACACTAAGATCTCCAACAGCATGAAAGTTAGGAAAAGAACATGGATAAAATGTTCACAGAATAGGTAAATACAAATAACCAATAAATGTAAGCAAGGATGCTCTGCTTTTACACACACACACACACACACACACACACAAATCACACGCACATAAAAATATACCCAATTACAAGATCTATCATCTTTCATGTTCTGCCCAGGAGATTAGCTGAAAAGTAACAGTGCCCTACTACTAAACTCTTTAAAAAAAGTACATTGAGACAGGATTACTGCTGGGCTAATAACATACATTGACACATTTTTCTGGAAAGAAAGTTGAAGATATGTGTCAACTGACTTATAAAATATATATGTCATTAATCCAGTATTTCTATTTACAGATCCCACTTCTGCAGAAATAAACAGAGGTATGGACAAGGACTTTATATAATGTTATACATCTCAGTCATAACTGTTATGTAAGGGGAGTGAGTATGTAAAGTATGTATGTATTCAGCGGGATCGTGTTTCTTCATGCTCAGTAAAAGACCCCTTATCTGATTGGCCTGGTAGTTATTTAGTTGGTGGGAAAAAATGTTGGTTAAAGCAAAAAATACTTTATAAAATGATCCATATATTTTATTTTAGTGAGGATTCATTTTTGCTGCAAGCAACAGAAACACAAAATAACAGCAACCTAAACAAAATAGAGGGTTTTTTTTACTTTTTCTAGTGAAACATCTAGCATTTGGTGACCCAGGGCTGTTATGGCCCCCCAAAGCACCTTCGATGTAAAAGACACCTGTATCTTCTTGCTTGGCCACCTATGATCCTTATTCACAATTTCAGTTTTAGCAATCATGCTACGTTGTGGAAGCAAAGAAGAAAAGGAGGAAGGTAAAGACATACACCCAAGGACATTTTCCTAAAGTTGCACACACCATTCTCCCTTCACTTCATCCTCAGAAATGATGAGATGGTAACACGTCGCTGCAAGGCTAGTGGGAAACACGGACTCTTCCAGGCAATCCTGTGTCCTGCTAAAAATCAGATTCTTTCATTATTTAACGTTTCCTTGGCCTATAATTTAACAGTGTGCTCCACCGTGAACTGAGCTTTGCATACATTAGGTTTTCAGTAACCAAAGGAGGATCTAATGCGGACACTAGACAATGGCACCCTCACGTGAAATGACCTTTCAGTTCAACCAGAGGTAAACTTTCAAAAAATTTCAAAATTACTGAGCTTTTGCCATCAAGAAAAATACTCTCTAGTACCTGATCAAATATCAGCAGACAGTTAATATCTTAAACGCTACTGGGCCTAGACAGACTGACAAATCAAGGTAATCAGGGTTAAATTACATCTGCAAAGCAGGTAGCAAATCATAGAACTCAGATTCCTAGCATGCCATGGCGTGATTAGAATTCTAAAGGGTCTTAGTTTCACTAGAATAATGATTCAAATTTATAATATATAGACCATCAACATATTTGATTGCCCTATGGGATAGCTTAAATCTATGAAGTGCCTGGAGATACTCTCTATTCCCCGGAATATACATCAGAGGCCCATTT